ATATATACACACACACACACACACACACACACACACAATTTCAAAGGCCAAATATATATATAATAATCTGTACTATGTACAAGTAACTACAGAACTGCTGCTGAAAAATGTATCTGTGGAGTACCTGTGCTAAAACTTGCAGCAGTTTCAAAAGAGATAAACTGCATCAATTCTGGATGATCTAAGTCTATGGGTACCCTATATGCAAATTACTACAGGTATGTTTATTTGTAGGTGGGGGTGGCAGAGGGCAAGGGGGCTACTTGACCCTCCAGATTTATATGCTCTGCTGTAGCGGTGAAAGGGGGATAAATTCATGCTGAACCTCCAGTTCTACACCTGGAGAATTATAACAAATGTATACATTTTCCATATATAGAATCTAATTATTGGGGGTCATCTTATATTCACAGTCATCTTATATTTGAGTAAATATGGTATATTAAACTCACGGTATTTTCAGTAAACACATTTACTTTTCTTTTATTGTATTATTTTATTAAGATCTGAAATGTGAGTGTGAGTTTTGGGGAGATAATATGGTTCATGGGAATAATTCTTAAAAGGGCAGAGATGCAATGATACTGGTGTGTAAGTGACTCTCTCCTACATGTCGTTTCTGATTAATTCTATCTCAGTGAGTCTAAATAATTATAACTTACATGCTAAAAAGCTGGAAAATAGGGGATAGCAAGAGAGAGAAATTAGGTCATAGCTAAGGGCCTGTGATGGCCACTACAATTGCTTATCACTTTCCCACAGATGCATAGAACTTCATAGGGTCAAACCTACAAGGAATTCAAAAATTGTGGGCATATATGGGATGCTGCTAACTCTGATAGTCCTACTCAGTCAATGTCACAATGCATTGGCATCTGTTTCATAGTATGTCACTGGCATTGCCATAATTTTAGAACAGTCTTTTCTTCCCTTTTGGTGTGTAAAGCCCACCAGAAATAAATCAGAAAACTTACAATTTCACTGCCCCTATAGGGGAAGCTGCAAAACTAACACAAAGTACTACCAAGTGCAAAAAATAACTAAAGGAATAAAAAGGGAGCACATTAGTGGTATTTCTACCATCTTTTTCAGGGATGGTAACCCTGCATGTTATTTGTAACAATAGTAGGCAAACAAACAGAGGTCATGGAAACTCCATCCTTGAAGGTTCTCAAAATCTGGCTAGACAAAGCTTTGGCTGGGATAATCTAGTTGGGGATGGTTCTGCTTTGAGCAGGGGGTTGGACTAGATGACCTCTGACATCCCTTCCAACCCTAATTTAATATGATTCTATGATTCTAACAGAGAAGTATGCTTCCCATCCCTCTGCCCCCCACCATACTACCTTATTTTATTACTTCCCATTTTTTCTAGAGACATTGACAGGATTTTTATACACACCAGTGTTTAGCCACTAGTAGCCCAGCCCAGAAAATTGCTTACGTCTAATGAATTTATAAATGAGATGTTCATTGTACCAAGGTCTGTTTGGATCTATAAGGGATTTCTTAGTGAAGAGCTTATTTTGAAAGCAGAGTATTTGGATTTCATGGTTTTGATATAGAAAAAAAATTAGTTCTTCTGTAGTTTGTATTAAACCTTCCTGTGTTCTCAATGTATAAAGTGTTCTAAATTGTGCTTTGTAGATTTTTTGGGTGGTCAGCTGGAAATTGAGCCTGCCATCTGCAATATATAGCAAAAGAATCTAAAATTGAAGCTTTCTTTTATAAACAGAAGTATAGACTAAATAGGGCATTGCTGAAGGTGCTGTTAATTAATTTCTTACGACTGAAATAGAAAGAGAAGCCAGGATCTGAACTTAGAGAAACCAAATGCTTGGTAGGTAACAGAAGCAATGAGTGACTGGCTTGTGAGCAATAGAAAGGCATATTCTTGGAATTTAGGGAGAAAGAGATTGGATCTGTGTAAGCACTGAAAAGTAAACTGGGCCCCTGAAAGGTTAAAAAATGGCAGACTGAATTCAAAATTTGAGCTAAAGCCCAAAAGGAGTGTGCATTTGAGATACTAATTTTGTGTATTGTTTCATTCCCTCCTGACTCAATATGCCATGTTAAACAAGAAAAACCTTTATTGCCTTTTGAGTAATTTGTCTTGAATAAATAAAGTTTGTAGGGAAATGGTTTTAAATATTTCATGCTTTGGTTTTAGAAGGGGCTCAAATTATTTCATACAATTTGTGTCTCAACAGTCAAGTATCCTCTTCCAGCAAAGTGATGCCAGTGCTGTACTTAGAGAAAAAGCATACAGTGGTTTTATTTTAAAAGCTCTGCTATTGCATAAGGTTTACTATGTGCAATTTCCATGATGTTGTACAATCACACTTAAGTGTGGGGCATTACACTGAAGCTACTCAGTACAGTAGGATGCAGTATAATATAATCTTCTGTAATGCCTTTTATACTAAATGTACTCACCAATTTTGCAGAAAGCCTCTCTTAGCTCTGTCATCTCTTCCTCTGAGATGTGACTTGATGCCATCTTTACTTCTCTGAATGACCAGCCTGCAAAAAGACGTATATTATTATTTGATGCTTTTCTCTTTTTAATCACTAGGGGTTCCATGTAAATTTACCTCAAAATTGGAAACAGCACAATAGCACAAGGTCAGTGAACCATTCCTTATTGCTTACAACAGCTTCTTTCCGTGTGAAGTCAGTCTTTTTATTTTTAATTTCATGTCTCAGGCTGAATCAGCCAATGACTTCCAAATTCTATTGGCTAAGTAGAGCTCAGTTGTTCAAATCTGTGTGGTGCTACCACCGGCAAGTATCCTACCTGCCAAACTCTTCAGCCTGGAGCTTCAAATACTCCCAAATCCATGGCAGGCATCTTACATGCAAACGCCAAGCCCAGAGGCCTGGAGTTCAGATGCCCACTAGTTTCACTTGCCCCTAGCCAAAAGGCCAAAGGAACAAGCTAGAGGGAAAACTTGAGAGCAATCCTCCATCACTGTAAATTGTATACCCTAGATCCTCACATTTGGAGGCATTTGTAGACTCTCTCAGGGGTCAGTCTGCCCACAGTGCAAGGGATAGGCCTTCACACAACTACACCAAGCCATTCAAGACCAAGAAGAAGGGTATTTCCCCTTCCAAGTAAGAAAAATCACCTGGGCTGAAAACCACCTCATGGTATCTCCCCTGCCAGTCAGTCATGCAACTAAGAGAAGACTTTCTGTATGTAATTCCCCTTGATTGATGCTGTTTTGCCAAACCCTGTTCCAGATGCTTCTCTAGGCTGGTGAGTATTTATGATACTAACCTAAGAGCTAAATCCTGCCCCTACTTAACCTAGCTAACCTGTGAATGGTATGCAGCAGAGTGACAGAAAAGAATAATGCTGGACACTTGGTAATTCCCAAAGCTGCCTTGCAAGTACAGGTCAAGGTGACTCAGATATTTGAAAGAAAACACATGATTGAATTCACTTTGCTGCTGCTGCAGTGGGGAACAGCTTCTTTACCTAATGAATATATCCATCATACAGCATAGAAGCAGAGGGGCTGCCAGCTAGCAAAATGTGTTCTGAGGGGGTGAGGGTCACACGCAAGTGTAGCAGCAGGGACCCCCATCTCAGCACTTTCCTGAGTTCTAGGTTGGAATTGTGGCCCTGTTGCTTCATGGGTGAACTCTGACAGCAAGCAATGTTTTGGTACCCTTTTCCCCCCTCAGCACACTCACGCAATGCAAAGAAGGCTTAGTTTGCAAATCCTATACTTTATTCCAACATCATTGGGAGGTTAGGATAGAGGGGGAAGGTTTAATTTCCTATCTGACAGGTAGTTGTCACATCTCTTTATTTATGACCAGAAAGTTCTAAGGGATCATATGCCACATTTTTCCCAGTCTATGTCTGTCTTGTCTAGTTAGATCTGGAGTGGACAATTATTTTGGCCAGCAGTTAGGGAGCTTTAGTGAGCTGTTGCAGGCCAGATCAGCACCCCAACACCCCGCTGTGCTGGATCAGCATCCCTCTACTCCCTGACCTGCTCCCCCTCCCAACAGCTCACCAAAATTCCCTAAGGGACCTTGTACTCGGCCAGGTAGATGGGATGGGGCTGTGGGCAGGCAGGGAGTGACATCCGGGAGCAGGACACCTGAGCGGGGCGAGGATTGTGGGGCAGTGACAGTATGGGGCCCAGACCCAGGGTAGAGCTGCGACCTGTTCCCCACACACCCCTACCTGCGGAATTGGTGCCCATCACTGGGACTTGCAGGGAGAAGATTACGGTTCTGCCTTGGGTCCCACCCTGCACAGTCACTACCCCAAGATCCCATCCCATGATGCTGGCCCCACCCACTCATCCTGCTCCCAGACACTGTTCCCCACCCACCCACAGCCCAGCCCATCTGCCCGGTCATGTTCCGTGGCCACACTGATCCTGCCTCCAGCAGTGGGTGCAGGGTGGACAGGCTGGGGTGCCTGAACAGTGGAGCCAGATCTAGCAGAGGCATCCTCCAGAACAACTGCCACCACCAGACTGGCACAAAGTGAGTCCAGCCACTGGGGGCGGTGGGACTGGCTGCATGCACCACAGCCTAGGCTGCTCCCTATGCCTGGGCTGGGTGGAACCAAGGGACCTGCTGCCAACCAGACAAAATCCCTTAGAGGGCCAAATCTGGCCCACTGGTCTATTTTGCCCATTGCTGAGTTAGACTATAAATTAGTCAGGGACAGTCAAATACCCCATGTCTCCCCATTCTTGATTGCTGTTTAAGCGGATAAAAACATGATTATTAAAAAACCAGAATAGGATAGAATGAAACAGAATACAGACTTGAGTTTGAGGCCTTTGTGGGTGGATGCTAAAGTTACAATGTTCTTTAACAAAGCAATAAAAGGAAATTTAGAAAAACACTACTGTACATTTAAAAGCATCATTTCATTAGAGAGACCCTAAGTGCAAAATCTGTACAAAGTTATAAAAGCTGTCATGGTGGATTTGAAAAATGGAAGATGATGTATAACAAGTTTGCTAGAAATTCTTTAGTATGATAGCTACTGTGTATTTGAATTGGAGGTTTATTTTTAGTGCTTTCTTGAGTTTCTCTATTGATTTAGACAGTGACTAAGTGTGGTGTAGAAGAAAGGCTATTTATGGAGATGGATTAAAAATAGGCCAAAGACAATGAAATGCAGGTAGTTTTTCCATCCATTCTGTCTCTACTGCATTGCCATTTATCTGCCTTAGTTCTGCCATTTTCAGATCAGTAGTAAAAGATGGCTTCATCAAGATAAAAAGCTGCGGCAGTTTGCTCACATTTTCCTGCAGCAACATCCACAAAGAAGCATAGCAAGAGATGGTAGCCTTTCTGGGTCAAAGTTTGTGTGCTTGTATTTCTACACTACCTAGTACAACAGGGTGTCTGACTTCTACTGTAACACTGTACATAATGCTATTTATCATTATTACATTTAGTGACCTATGAGAGACAAAATCATAAAAAGATTTAGCTGGTCAGATCATTAATCTCTCTTCCAGTGTAGGATTATTCTGTTCAACCTAGATGTTTAATCAAACAATGCAACATGCAATATGACTTATAATAAGATTATGCCATATATCAATAGAAAACAAAAACAACAATAATAGTACTTGTATCCTATAACAGTCCTATTGCAAGCAGTTTTACAGTCATTTGGGCCAATTTACCACCCATGTAAGCTGTTCTCCTGAAGCAAAAATAGCTGTACTTCCATATGCTGAGGAAGAATCTGATCATTGAAGCAAAAAAACCTACTGGCCACTGATGGCACAAGTTTGCCTGTAATTTTGATTACACCCCTTTCAGATCAATACTATCAACCTCAATATATAGATATGAAAACCTAACACAGAAATTAAATGGCTTGTCTGAGAATATAACACCAACATAAAGACTGGGGTTACAGCTCCTAAGGGCTAGGGACATACATTCAAAAAACCTGAGCTTGAATTGATTCAACCTTTGCAGGTTAGGCTAACCTGGCTAGGTTGAACCAGGTTCCAACCATACAGACAATCTCTCTGGACTGAGCAAATTCAGGCATGTGCCTGCAGTGGCTCAGGCTGGAAGCCAGGGGGGGCTAGAGCAGCCCTTTCTTTCCTTGCAGAGCTGAGCTGAGGGGGTGTGGCCAGATCCCAGCAGGAGGCTCTGATTAGGGAGGATGTAAGCCTGCCTGCCTGTAGTCCCAGGCTTTTCCCAACTGGCTGCTCAAGGGGTGGGAGTGTTGCCAGCCCCCAGGCCCCAGATAGCACTGAGGCAAAGGGAGTGTGGGCCGTGCATGCATCTGTATCATCAGCCTCCCTCCCTGCTTCCGTATACTGTCTGCAGCAAACTGACAGGCAAGCAAGCTGGGGGTGAGGGGGAAGATAACAGTGTCACCCCTATCTCAGTGTTTATTGGCCCATTAATAAAACAGAGGGACATTCCAAAAGGAGGCTTACTCCCAATGGAAAGGAGGGGTCATCACTAAGGAGGACTATTCTGCAGTTGCTCGGGGATGTAGGGGGATGGTTAGGAAGGCCAAGGC